TTAATTGTATTGATGGCACTGACTTAGACGTCAAGTAACAGTCCCAAAAAATGAAGTATTGTTGTTCATAATGTTAAAAAGAAAATGGCAAAACCAGCAGTTACAGCTTTTATACTTTTTCAGACAAAATGAATCATTTCTGCAAAAGTACGTTTTAGGAAATGATTTAAAAGTAGATGCAGAATTTGCTAACCTCGGTTCTTTTGCAAAACAGTTCCTCAACTGCAGGGTGTCTAAATTTCCTTTAGTCTGACCTGAGGAACCTGGGCAGTGACTCAGTTTTTTAAGGGGAGTTGATGTGTAATATAGTCGGCGAGCCCATGAAAGGCTTTACATTTAAAAGTTTAAAGTCAGTTCTGTATCTTAACTGGTAGCTACTGTAGTGTAGCAGGGATAGGAGTCATTTGGTCTTTGGTGTCATTAAGTGTATTTTTCAATTGAAGTCTCGTTCAGTTTGGTGCCCAACGTCCTCTGTAAGCCTCCTTTATGGTTACTGCAATGGTATGCATGACATCATCACAGCCCTGGGAATATTTACATTGGTGTTTGTGGCACTCTGGACTTGCTAGTTTTCTCCAAAACAGTAGGTGTTGCAACCTTTTCACCAGCGCTGGTGCAGAAGAAGTCAAAACAGGAAATGAAGCAGTCACAGAGGTTTTCTCCAGCATGTCTCATATTTTCCAGCTGTTGCAGCTTCTCTCTGTGTGCATTGCTATATGTTGCTGTAGAGCTGTAACACTCGTAGACATGGCACCAGGTTAGAAAAACTCAGATACCAAAGCACGGGGCACCTACAGCTAGGACATCATTTTTGTTGATGTACCGACTGCTGCTTCCAGTGCAACCATAAAGTGCTGCCACTCAGAAGCAATCATTAGGCTCATCTTTATTGGTAGGTTTATTGAATTTTAAAGCCCTATAATTTATCTTTTCCCTTAAAAAAAGGACCTAAGGAGGAGGAGAGTAGAAAACCTCTGTTAGGTGCACCTGTTGATTAGAGTACAAAAGAGAAATCCTGTGGTTGTGAGGATGAGGCCACATGGACTTGAGGTGTTTTTAATGTTTGATTAACTGAGATATACAAAAAGTATATACTCAGCATGCAGCCAAGAGAAGAATCCCTTGTAAATTTACTACAAAGCAGCTGGCTCTACTTCAAAAGCTGCCTGCTGTTGCCTTTGTAGATGCAGAACTCCTGCATAGAAATGACTGTCTGTCATTTTGGGTTAGCTTCCAGAATGGAAGAAACCCTGCATTGCATGACACTGGTTAAACATACTGGCATATGGAGCTTGCCAGTATGTTTAACCAATGTCTTGCCAGTATCAAAACATGTTGCTTGATGTCGGAACTTTTGAAGAAAAGCTCTCGTATTTCCTCAGGTGTTTAAACCTCGCACCCCTCCAGAGGCCATTGCGCTTTGCTCTCGGCTGCTGGAGTACACGCCAGCCTCACGCCTCTCCCCACTAGAGGCCTGTGCACATGCCTTCTTCGACGAACTGCGCCAGCCAAACACGAGGCTGCCCAGTGGACGAGAACTGCCGATGCTCTTCAACTTTAGCACCACAGGTAGCAGAGTTAAAGTCTCGTTTCCTTCCCTTTTTTCTTTGCTAATTGTTCAGCTAAGTTGTTGCTGCTCTGCATGATGATTCTATGTCTGTAACACGACTTTAAAGTCAGTTTGTTCTGCGACTGCTGAGGTGTTCCGGTTAATTCAGTATGCCTCTTTTGTTCTGTTGAATGACACTGCGCTCTCCTTATGACTCAGCGCTAAATAAAAACTCTCCTTTTATTCTCTGCAGAGCTGTCGATCCAGCCTCAGCTGAACTCAATCCTCATTCCTCCTCACGCTCGCTCTCACACAGCTGCTTCTGCACACGGTGGGAAACTCTTATTGTAATTTTACTGACACTGTCAATAGCAGCTGAGAGGGAAAAAAACTGAAATATATTTTTATGTTTTACCTTTTTGATTTTATTTTTTAAAATCCAGACACTGAAGAATTAAAACTCTTAAAATTGTCTTTATATTTTTGAAAACCATCTTTATATCTCATGGAAACATTTTAATAAGCACACCTTATTTAAGTCCCATCCTTGATGTCCCCATCAACATCGTATATTTGTATAAATTTGAACACCTCTGTTATTTTTAGTTCATACAAATCCTTAAAATGCCTTGTAGGGAATTAAACTCATTCACCTGAAAAGTTTATGATGGCCATTTGGTAAAATTGAGCCAGGCTGCACAAAATTCTCTAAGTTTAAATGCCTTAAATTAGTTCTTCAAAAGTCTTTCAAAAAATATTATGCTGTTTGTACCTCTCAGCAGTAAAAATCTTATGGTTTTGTTGTCACCCTGCCGGGTGGGTGGGCGGTCAGCATGGACACCAAAGTTTGTAAATCCGATTACTCGAGAAGGAAGTCGCCTAGGACTTTCAAATTGAAACTTAAGCTACTGTTTTGTACAGATTTAAAATAGATGCAAAGTTGATTTTAAGGCCTTAAGAAGTTTCTGAAGATCTTAAGAGTCACCTTGTGTATTTAAAAAAACAAACAAACATAAATCTGACATAAATAGTTTGAAATAGAAAGTTTGGGGGAGCGGGTGTTTTTATTTTGTTTTTTCTCTCCTGACACAAGATGGCAGCACTATGCATAAAATTTCAGACTGATTATTTTCTATTACTCTGTCTGATGTTTACTGCTCTGTAAAGCTGTAAAGCTTCAATTTAAAGCTCACTGTACCTTTTGTCTCTTCTTCCTCTCCCCTTCAGATGGTACCGGTTCAGATTCATCTCAACACAGTTCAGTACCAGGATCTCTCAACAGCATCTGAAGCAGCTTCTCACCCATCTGCCTGCAAAGCATCACCCCGTTTTCTCAGACAAACACACACTCTGTGTCCACAGCTGTCCACCATGCTGCTTTGCTATCTTCTTCCATGGTCTGTTTCTGTACAGTAAATCCACTGAGCAAACCCTTCGTTGTTTAGGTGTCAGGGTCGAAACTACGGCAGGAGATTGTTACACACACACCGAATCGTCCCGCTGCTGCTCGGGTGGTTTTAGAAGGTTCAATAGTCGGGGCTGGTCCTCTGTATTATAAGCTTTTGTTAACCATTTTTTTCCTTTTTGTTTTCTTTGTTTTTATTTATTTGGCTAGGTAAAATCATTATATACCTGTTTTTCCCCCCTCACTTTTAAGATTATTTTTTTTATTCAGTGTTTTTAAATGAGTGCACGCTGCCTGAAGAAGACTAGAACACACAGGTCATCACAGTAGGACTTTAATTTAACTCAGGATGGGAGAACAGTTGCAGGGACATTATTTTAGTCCAGTCCTCTACCTAAGTTACAAATCAAACCTTCAGCTGTTGTTGTTTTAGCTGCAGATGGAAGAAAAAAACATGCCAGTGCCAGATAAATGTCAGTTTGCCTCATGTTGGAAATGAGCATCCTTACAGGTGTGTCTGCTAAAGGAACTAAACGCTTCTCTGTCTAAACTATATATACCCAACAAGGAAGGAGTCTTAATTTTTTTGTGGCTCGAGACCCTTTCTCAGTTTTTAACCATGTTTTTATTTTTAAAATTAGGTCCCACATTGTCGGCCACAGAGGCATATTTGTAGGAAAGGGCACTTAAGTGCAACTCGAAAAGAAGGCATCACTTTTCAGGAAATTGTTTTAGACCTATTAGGGTTGGGGGAAAAGAAATGGCCTCCTCAGAAATGTTTCTAGATGGCTGGACAGAAGCGTGGCTGCTCGTTCTCCTTCTTCACAGGTAATTTGGCTGCATTCGCCTGATCATGAAATGTCAGAAAAGGTTCAGACAGTACTTTTAGTCTTAGATCAGTGTTGTGAAAGAAGATTGCAAAAGTTCCCCATAATGTGCAAGTGGAGGTGGAGACTTTATATTAAAAAAAAGTCTTTTCTTTAAGCAAGAAGAAAAGGAAAACTTTCAACCTTCCCCAAAGACATGTTTGAATTTCAGCCTTCTCTGGAAACGGCTCTGTGTTCTGCTGTTTTAACTAAACCAAAAACGTAGTTGTTTCTTTACTATATTTCCATATTTGCTTCCTTTTTAAGATTCAATTCTGTGATATGAAGTCAGTGATATGAACATATAAATTGGTGTTACAGTCTGAAATTATTCAGACTTTTAATGGCTTAAAAACAAGAAGCAGAGAATTATCTGATTGGTCCCTCATCCAGTTTTTGTAGTTGTGTGGATATGAAAGCCTCGAAACTTCAGTTAAAACTTAGCAGAAAAATTGATTTAGATGCAAATCATGTCCAGATATCAGAAAGCTGTTTTTGTCTTTTTTTGGGGGGGGGTTTTGGGTTGTTGTTTTTTTTTTTTTTTAAATCCTCCTTGGTTTGGAAATGTGGCGCTTGAGTATTTGCCTCACTGTTGATTAAAGGCAGCAGAGAAACAAATGAAAGCTCCGGCGAATTCGTGTTTATTTATTAGGTTGTCTTTGGATGAGATTGGAGTTACTCTAAAGTCGTGGTGATGGTGCGAGGATAAATGGAGCTGGGCTATCAGCTGATCAGTGCTGACGTGAGAGGAAGCATATCTGTAGGCAAGCAGGGAAATCCCTTTAAGCTGTGTGCGTGCGTGCGTGCGTGCGCGTTGTACTCCTGTGTTCTTGAGGACCAACTCTGATTTAACCCCCGTGATGGTGAGGATGTTCTTCCTGTCCTCACTGTATTGTTTTGTTTTGTTTTTTCTTTAAGTAGTTGGAGCTGTGTGTGTGTCGTGTGTGTGTGTGTGTGTGTGTGTGTGTGTGACCTGCGGTGTTTTGTGCAATGATTGGTGTGATTTTGTAGGTGTGTCGTGTGAGTGTGTGTTGGTGTGAATAGCTATGTCGCTCGAGTGAGATGTGTAGTGTGTAGTAAATGTGGTGTTTGGATTGTTTTTGGGGGGGGTTTTTTTTTTTTTTTTTTTTTTTTTTTTTTTTTTTTTTTTTTTTTTTTTTTTTTTTTTTTTTTTTGTGTTGTGTGTGTGTGTGTGTCTGAGAATACTCCCACCTACAGTCTGAACAGCCAGTGTTTTAGGAATAGAGCAGCCAACAATACTGATTTTTAGTACGCCGTACAGACCACTTGAAAGTTTGTAGTATAGTATATTTGATACTATTGTACCATTGCCTCCACCTGCTCTTTTCCTCCACCCCACCTTTTTTTTTTATTTTTTATTTTTTTTTAAATTGCTCCACACGTTCACATTAATTTTACACGAGGAGAATCACTCTTCCCCGCCAGCCGCTTCATTTGTTTGTGGCGCGTTAAAGCCGGCTGCATCCCCCTTTCTCTGCTGTAAGAGCCCAACCAGCACGTTTGATCGACTCTGCGGGTCGACAGCGTTCACACGCAGAGCTGTCAGTCTTTTCTGAGGCAATGAAAAGCTGTGACCAAGCCTGAGGAGAGGACTCAAATGTGGCTGGTTTCAGAAGCCATTTTACTTCCTAACTCCCCTCCTCCTCTTATCGCACGTGTAAATATCACTGATTTTTATTTGTTCCTCTTTTTACTTTTATTACAGAGTTGTTTATATCTTATTTCCCCTCATTAAGCTGTCTTAGTTCCTGCATTTTTGTAAATAATTTTTTTCACTATCCAAAATGTAAATACTGCAAAAGTGAAAAGGAAAAAAAAAAACAGCCACTCCTCATGTTTGTTGACGATCTTTCTCTCTCCTTCTCTTTCTTGTGTACCAGTGAAACTGTTTAGTAGCTCGTCCTGTTTCTCCTTTAGTCCTCTGTGGACTGACTGACTGCTGAATGAGCTTCTTATAAGGGTTCTGTTCCATAATGCTCTCTCTCAGCTCACCGAGTGTGAATATAATCAGCTAATCTGACGCCTGTAAAGGACTGAGCCATTTAAAAGCAGCATTCTGGGTTTGAGTCTATCCCGAGAAGCCAGCCAGTGACGTCAATAAATGTGAAATGTCCAGAACATTAAACCATTAAAGTGAGACTTAAGGGGTTTATTTTTGATTTAAGTGTGATTATATCTAAAAGAGCTGTTTATGTACAGGATGTTCCACTTACTCCCACCTGCACTAATTCAATCCTCCAACAGGTCCTTTTCCTGCAGCTTTTCCCAGAAAGAGGAAAAACATGGACTGTAAATTTAATTGGAAAAACATAAAAAAAAAAGTAAAAGAAAATCTCTTTGCAGGTTGTGCAGGTCGTATTTACAGTAGTCTTTACCTTTTGACTGTAGATGGCAAACACCAGCAAGCCTAATCCTTATAGCACAGATAAAGTAATGCACTCAGTTTCATTATTAGGCTAAGTAATTGCTCCTGTTACTGCTTCACAGGGGGTAGAGTACAAAGTACAAGCAGCCCATAACAATTCAGTGAAGGTCAGTGCACAGTGTAGTTATTTTATTCCTCACACTCAAACGCACCACTCTCACTCATTTCAGTCATAGAGTTTGGTTTGTTAAGCACAGACTGTATATAAAAGATGGACGTAGCCGCTGATTCTGAAAAGCGAAGCCAAGGTTCTGGTTGCTTAGATGACCCATCAGTGTATTTATCACCTCTTCACACGTCAATCATTGGCATCCTTCGTTTCAGTCGCTTCAATCACTCGTCTTGAAGTGTAGTTTGTTTTTGGACACGCCCACTTGTCTGTTGTTACTGCAAGTCTCTGAACATGGTGCTTATTGGTTAACAAGTTGCGATCTTGCTTTTCTTTCATTTCACAGTCGGGTCTACCCCCTCACTATGATGTCTCGTTACAGAAAGCTAAGATGGCGACAGTGAGAATATCTGCTCAGGGGCTTTATAACATGACCTCACTAACCAACGGGTGACCTGACAGGAGTTATGTCCATCATTTATTTACAGTCTGTGGCATAAAGTTGAAAGTTAACTCTTAGCTTCTCCAGCTCCAGTTAAGAAATTTTATCAGAGTTCATAAAGCTCTTTAGTGTTTTTTGTTTATTTTTATGTGTGGTTGTACTTCCTGTATTTCTTGCCTTGTAAGTGGAGCAGGTTTAAAAAGCACCTGAGATTTACATGTCCTACTGAGTTATATGATGGTGCTTTATTAGGTGCCTCTGTGTCTCCCCCATTATACGAAATGTGTCCTTCAGTGTTGGCGCTCTGAGGCTTAACCAAAGCTCCAGTTGTCATCGTCATAAGGAGCTTGGAGGAGTGTTGGTGACTTTCCAGGATTAACAGGTTTTCACTTTTGACTTCCACTTGCCTCAATCTATGCGTTTATAAACTGCTTGGTTATGGTTTCGGAAAATTTTCGTGCTTTTTACCCAGAGCATCACAACACAGATGCCAGCAGGTTTGACAATGCAGTCTTAACTGACGCCTCGGGATCAGAGCGAGCGTCTCATTAATTCTCCTTTTGGAACAGAACTCTTTTTGCTTGTGACAGTTTGCAAAATATGATTACTGTGCAGTATCGAGAGGAAAAGTGTCGAGCGATCTCACAGGTGTTTAGTTGGGTTAGAGTCCAGCTAGTACTCAACATGTGGGCATTTTTGTGTTTATGCGCTGTGTGGCATTCAGAATCGCTGCTAACGATCACAACAGGGTGGACATGGGCGCCTGTGTTACGACAGACCTATCAGGTGTGCGTGGATGTACATTACTGACAGTTTCATGAAGTCTGAATCTCAGAAATTGTTCTTAAATTCTCTGAAAACTCAGATGTTAATATTACCTCCTTTTAAAAAAACAAAAGTCACATCTGTTAATTTTTTATTTAATCTGTTTACTTTAGTGTCACTCTGGCCCGTAGACCACTGAGCCTGAGTGCTGGAGGGAGAGGGAGAGAGAAACAAACAAGTCTGTCTCTGTTCTGTGTGCGTACGATATGGACTCATTTACTGTAATAAAGTGATGAAACTGTGTCACAGCGTGGGTTGTCTTGTTTGTGACTTGGATTAAAAGTTAAAAAACATTTATCCACAGCTCGAGCTCTTTGTGGGCCAAACCTGCAGAAACAAGCTTGTCCTCAGCCTGAGATGTCTCACTTCTGCTTACTTTGGCAAACCGTCACCTAATACATCACTTTAAATCACATCCCTGATTAAAGGGTGAACAATTATATTGGACTCTGTCTGCGAGTAAATTTCAGGGTTTTTTTGTTGTTGTTTTTTAATTTTTAGTTCCTTGCTTAAAGACCTACTGTGGCCTGAAGGGCCACAAACACACAGTTGGGGGGGCCCACCCAAGAAGGAAAATGAAAGGGACACTTTCTAGTCACAGTTCAGCATCAAGTCTGTTAAGCTTCACGAATATTGATCTTTTCAGTTAAGTAGCAGAGAGGGTTTTAATCACTTTAAGCTTCTTTGCTGTCAATTAAATTAACTGGTCCACTAGAGGTTCAACAATCAGACAACCCCCAAAAGGAATGGTTTTACAGGTGGAATCCACTGGCATTTTTTTTCCCCCTCATCTTCTCTGGGGGGTTGTTTTCACCAGTTTTGCATGGTCTACTGTCACTACTGGTAGCTGTACCCTATAGGTTGCGCAAGTAGTCCAATTTCTGGATTCACAGAAGTATGTCCCATTGCTAGGTTTGCTATGTCACCCAGCACAGCACATGGAGGAGAGTCCAGGAGACGGACAGTTACTCGACAGCGTGTTAGGTCCTTATCAGTGTGACCAGTATCTGGTTTTACAAGTAGAGACAGAATGAACACAAAACCCCTTTTTCCCTTTGATAATTTTCATTTGTATCACATGATGTTGCATCCTTTTGTTGCTAACACATCTATCTAGAAGTATAGTTATCCAGGAGTCTTCCTGTTGAGTTGTTTTCAAAGTATTCCTTTCTACACAGCATCTCAAGGGAGGAAACTGAGTTTGGTGATGTCCGTGAGTTCTAGGCTTCAGGCAGTCATTGACTGCAAACTTTAATCCAAGTATTAAAAACAATCATTATAAAAATACTGAATTATGCTGGTTTGTTCAATCAAATCTGCATTGTTGGGTTTAAAATCCCCTGTAGTGATGTACGCAGGCAAAACTACAAGACTTCTGTGTTTAGGGCCATAATTTGTTGGACAGTGGCGTACCTATTGAAGTGGTCAAGGAGTGAAGACTTTGCAGACGCTACAGAATTTTCATGAATTTGCTTGGTCATCGGTGCAGGTGTGCACTTTTTGGAACACAACACCTGTTTTGGAGTCTTCAGAACAGTTATTGATATATTTATTTATTTTAAGTCATTTTTTAACCGTGCCTAATTCAATCAGTAACCATAAGTAAAAAATTGTTTCCTTGTTTCTTCTTGTATATAAGAGTTTGTTATTTCACAGGACTCCAGAATTCAGCCGAGAGGTTAAACTTCACTGAAGCAGGTGCCTGAACTTTCTGTTCTTTCCTTTGGGTTTGTTTGAATTTGTATTTATTACTTTTCTTTGCAGCAGTCCATCACCCAAAACAAGCTATGAGGGTATTTTTCCTTCTTTGTGCCGGTGTTGCTTTGTGCATCACAACAGGTGAGACTCATCACAACAAAGAAAACCATTGAACAGAAAAAAAAAAAATTCAGCGACATATATGATGCACGTCTTTGTCAAAAACAAAGTAGTTTCTGAAAATGCTTAACTTCAGTCTAAATACTCTTTCACAGCAAATCCAGTGCCTGACATGAAGCAAGGTAAAAGTCCTTGTGATGCATCTTTAACATTAAGTAGGTCAAAGTTAGTTACTGCCAGCACAGAGGCTACATAGAGGTAACTTTTTCTCCAGATAAGTATTTTCTATGTTTTCTGGCTTTGTTCGTGCAATAACAATTAACTGGAAGAAAATGGTACAAATGTGTAAGTAACTGTGTTCCCTGAGGTCAGTGCCACTTCTACTGTCCTGCTGCACATGCAAAGCTGACAATGTACATTAAAACCTACATTTGATCCATTCTTGTTATGTTCTGTACTAGAGTCACCACTGGAGCTGATCCCTGCTCAGCAAAACAGGACTGATGGTAAGGGAGAATATTTCTTAACTTGTCTGTCCTTCAATCACGGGTCCTCTACCGGAGGCCTGGGAACTTCAGGGTACTGTACAGTATCCATGCTGCTCCTAAGACTTTCCTCTTCTAGACAGAAATCTCAGATATCATTCTGAGTTTGGGGGTCACTGCACCAAATGCTCTGATTACTACGAGGAGCAGATCTTCTGCACCAGCTCTCTCAGGTATTTCTCAAGCTTCTCATGTTCCTTCTTCCTAATGTTGCTATCACTACGGCCTTCTTGCTCTGCTTGTCCACCACTACAATGTCCATTTAATTAGCCATAACCAGTTTGTCCCACAGGATCATTCTCAACCACCTTAGGGGGTGTATCTCTTTGGGACATTTAGGCCATACTCAGCACAGATGTTCCTGTATATTGTTATGTAGTAGGACTCCAACTTTTCCCTATTCTCATCCCCTGTGCACTTATGCCATAGCCTTGTACCAGTAGCCTCAACACCTGACGTGAGTCTTGCTAGTCCAGGCAACTTCAGTTATATATCTCCCACTCATGTACCGAGGTAGGCTTTGGGGGGCTTAACCTACAGCAAGCTGGACTGAAAGGTTTGGTAGCACAGGAACAAGCTCTGAGCACAAGCTCCAGCTGTGTAAAGAAGCCCCTGAGCAACCCAGCACATAACAGCAGGGTGCAAGAAGCTAGCAAGATTACATGCTTCCAGATACAGGCGGACAAACTCTGATGATGGCTAACCAACTGGGCTCAGTAGTTGTGAACAACCAGAGGAAGATGGCTGTGGTGTTAGATGTAGCTATACAAAGTGCTAGCAATATCAAGAAGAAGGAGCACGAGAACCTTGAGAAATACCAAGAGCTGAGAAAGTAGCTGGAGAAGATGTGAAGGGTGAAGGCAACAGTGGTCATCGTGGTAATCCAAGCCCTCGGTCAGTGACCCCCAAACTGAGCGAGCGACTCCAGCAGATCACAGGAATGTCATCCAAGATCTCTAACAGGAACAGCAAAAACCTCAAGCTCCTAGGCCTCTGGTAGAGGACGTGAGCGTGGAGGATAAAGACTCGCCTGCATGGCAATTGTGTAATTTTTTTTTCATTATATATAAAAAAGAAATTATAAATTATAAAATGTAGAGAAACTCTCTGAATTAAGTCTATTGTTTATGGAATACCAGCACTTTTCCCAATTTCGAACTTCTTCATCTCTGGTCAATTCAGGATGTAGTTCATTAACTATTTTTTAACCAGAGATGAAGAGAGGGCAGCCGCTGCAAAAAGCAGGAAGGATGGCTGTAGGGAAAGAGGGATTCGCTGAGCCTCCAAACCAACATGGAGGGAACTGTCCCCCTGAGTTTCAGGAGCACTGGGGGCGATGCTTCGGCTTCTTTAATATCCCCCTGGCTTGGATAGATGCCGAGGTAACCGTGTTACATCATAATTCTACTGAAGACCTTTAGAAATTACTCAGAAATCCATTATTTTTAGTATTTATAAAAGTAACTTAAGCGTGCAGTTACCATTGAAGTCTGAGGCACTGTGTTTGCCTGTGATGTGTCTGCTTTTACAGGAATATTGTTGGTCGTTTGGTGCCAACCTCGCCTCCATCCATGAATGGGATGAGTATTATTTCGTAATAAATCTCATGGATGAAATGGGATACAATGGTCCGGCCTGGATTGGCGCCTTTGATGCTGTCAGGGTAATGTAAAATGCAATTAATTGTTATTATAGCAGAACATTTATGCTAAAGAATGAATGTCTCCCTGCTTGTTGTAAATATGTGCCTTGACTGTTGTTATGATTTTATTTTTACAGCTGAATTCTTCTTACATTGCTTGACACTGCTTGTCGTTTTTGTTTTTTACAGTTTGGAGATTGGCTATGGAGTGATGGTTCAGGAACTGATTTACTCATGGCCCCTGACTTGCTAAAGGGCTGGAATAAATGGGGACGTTGCCTTGCAATAGGTATATTGTAACGTGACTAAATCAAGTGACTGCAGAAATGCATTTTGAAATATAAAGCAGAATGGTCACTCCTCTTGTTTTCTTATCAGATTACCCCACACCGAAACGTCATCCTTGTGGAGAGAGGCTTCCTTTCATTTGTGCATTTAGACCAGGGCTGTGTTATTAAGCACTTACCTGCAATCAATCACATGAAACCAAAATCTAAAATTCCTTTGCTTTTTTGCAAAATAAAAGTGGTTTCTCTTCAATCATAGCTCAGTTCTGTTTTATTTATTTATTTATTTCTCTTTGTGCATTGGGGTACATCAGCATAATATGTATATGAATGTCATGGTACAAAGCAGGGTTGATACAGTCTCATATATGAATCGGGTCTGCTTTTTATTTTCATAAAATGTCGACTGTTTGATGAGGTCTTCTCTCATGGTACCCCCGGTATAGATCAGTGTCATCAGCATACAGCAGGGTCTTTAAATCAGGATAAACAGAAGGGCATGATATTGTGGCTTCCCTCGTGGTTAATGTGCTCCTAGACCCAGTGCCAAGCCTGGTTAAATGGTGAAGGCTGCATCAGGAAGGGCATCCAGTATACAATCTTTCCCAAATCAAACATCCAAAATCACAGTATTTCTCTACCAGACCAGATGGAGCCCTGATTAACAATAACTGCCTCCTGTGCTATTGGCTAATAGTATGCCAGTGGAAACGGTGATATTGTTGACACTTAAATGTAGAGACTATGACTGGTTAAGAGAGAGAGCAGGATGATATGACATGGAGAAGGAAGGTAGATGTGTGAAAAAAGACCAAGAGGAAGAGAAACAAGGCTGGGAGCGTTAGAAGTAGATTTAACGCTTGATAGATGCTTTCTATCTACAGCATCTATCATGCTGTAGATAGGAAGAAAAATGAGGTAGAGTTAATCTTGAAGGAAGAGCATGTTAGTAATGTTCTGGAGGTACAGAGAGAGTCAGACAGGAGTTTGAAACTAAAAATTGAAGGGCTGATGTCAGTGTATATGCCCCACAGATTGAATATCAATTAAGAGAAAGAAAAATTCTGGAGTAAGTTGGATGAAGTGATAGAGATTGTAAAATGTAGCTAGGCAGCATCAGATGATAGTCTGTCGGACAACTTTAGAAATCCAAAAGAAGAAGTGGGTGAAGACAGAGTCAAGGATTAAATGGTGGAAGTACAAGAAAGGAGAATGTTGAGAACTCTTCTAAACCACTCTCTGAGGTGTTTGAAATATCCTCTGGACAGAGGAAAGAAAATAAGGAGACTTGGTGATGTAATGAGGAAGTGCAGGAAAGTTTTCAAAGGAAAACAGCAAAGAAAAAGTAGGATAGTCAGGAAGATGCATAAAGTTGACAGGAGTACTGAGAGGGGCCATGTACAACAGAGAGAGAGGAGGAAAAACAAAGGCTTAAAAATCAGAATACCTTTATAATCCCTAAGGAAATTATGTGAAAATTAGAGTAAGTTGTATCGGAGGCAGGACATTAAGGAAAGAGAAAAGGACTTCCATTAATTGTCTGGGCTTTTGTTTTACAGATTGAAACCAAGCATAAAATGAAATAAAAAATCACAACTATAATAACTCAGGTGTATCACAACGTCACTCGTTCGGGGCTAGATAGTTATATTATCTCTGGATGAACGTGAAGCTCCGCCCCGGTCCAGCAGGGGGCGCTGCTGGTCTCGTTGTCGCATTTCAAAGCTTAGATAAAAGCCTCCGCAGCTTCCTTTAGCACATTAAAAAAAAGAGATAACGACAAAGGAGCGAAGGCAGAGCCGCATCTCGAAGGTAAAACCGCAGAAAAAAAATCTTCCTGTTAGGGAGCTGTTATTTATTCTGGCGTTTTTTAATCCGGATTTGTACTCAACACTGCTTCGTCTTTAGTATAAAAACACCGCACAGCTCTGTAACTCGCGATCACGTGTAATATCAGCTTCCCTAGCTAGCTCAGCTAACAGGGTTAGCAAGGCGGCCCCGGCTGAGGAGAGGCCCGCTGGCGGTGATGACGGTTTTCAGCTGTTTATTTAACATTTTGTCAGGAAAACAATACAAAAGTCAGTGGCATCGGTTAGTTATTAGTAACCTGTTAGAGGCTCTCTCCTCGGTCGTCGAGGGTAGCTGCTGTTAACGATCTTTAAAGGACTGAAAGTTGTGATGATTTGACGCCTTTACTTTTTTATGAGAATATACAAAGGGTCATAAGTGGTGCTTGATTAATGCGTGTTGTTCCCCTTAAGATCGTTTATTGGTTGGCGCCGTCCGGATTTCCAATTGTATTTATATCAAAGTCCTTCTAGAAGCTAACCTCGCCACTCGGCAGCCATCTTAGTAACGCCCCCCAGGCAGTTATGTTTGAAGTGTTAAGTAAATCAAGTTTGGTTGTTGGTCCCCGGGACCATAAAATCTGTGTTGATGCGTTTGGAATCACTGTATAATTCAAATCGTTTAAAATGTGTGAAAAGCTGTATCCAGACACTGCTACAGCAAGTCACCTGAGAGATTATTTTTGAGTAGATATATAATATATTTATGTTATAACGACTAACCTGCCTACATTTTCGATGATTATATCAGTAACTCTTCTTACTACTGACACCGTAGTACTGCAGTCACATCATCTAGTTGATCTTCTGAGGGTACGTGAGGTCACATAGTCCGGTTTCAAGCTTCGGTCAGTTCCTCTCGCATTCAGTGATCCTTCTTCTATCGCACTTGGGGTGATGATATCTCTCCCTTGCCGTAACACGTGTGTTGTACCTTGTCAACACACGTGTTGACAAGCTGTGAGAGCATAGGGGAGTCTAACCTAATCAAACGTGCAACTCCCGCTCCAAAGGCGTGAAGACCATCCGACTCTGCTAGATCAAACACACCTGGTGACCCCACAATAATAAAGGTCCGCTCAAGAAGAGATTGTGGCTGCTGGATCACTTTGACAATTAAAGAAGTCCGTAATCATAATACAAATGTTTATTTCTGAAAGGTAAAATCTGGCACTTATACAGAACTTTATGGAAAAAGTTGACAAAGTAAATTTTTACAAATGTATTACAGCTATGCCACAAACATTTCAGTCAAGCTCCCTTCACCAGAGAGTAATTCAGTGTGCCAATAATCCAAATCAGTTTGATTTTAAGCCTTTATTGTCTGAAGAAATAAACCCTTAACATGTGGTTTTCAGATCCCTTAAGATACTTTGTTTAATGCAAAAGAAATGCACGACTAGAAGGTAGGTTCTTGTGCCGTTATAACTTGTTGCCGGTCGTTCCTGCAGGTTGAAGCTGAGGGCCATGGCTCGTGGGCAGCAGAAGATTCAGTCCCAGCAGAAGAACGCCAAGAAGGCAGCAGAGAAGAAGAAATCTCAGGGCGCTGACCAGAAGACTGCAGCCAAGGCCGCCCTGGTCCACACCTGCCCTGTCTGCCGGGTAAGAAACAGCCACAGCTTCTGCTGAAGCTCGCAGAGGCCTTTCACCTTTGTTTTTAAAATGTTGATGCTTCATATTTTAAGATGTTAAAACAACCAGTCAGCAGCTGCATACGTCATGTGGCTGGGTTTGTGCATGTGAGAGACGAGGGAAACTCTTTAGAGCAGTGATTCTCACCAGCACTGTAGAGATGTAAGACAGGTTTGTCTGTATGCACTAATTTCAGTAATTGTCATAGGTTCAAGTTAATTGCAGGGAGTTTATCGTAATGGTCACATAAATATCTCGGTTAAGTGCAACCAGGGCCAGAGATGGAAAAGGTCAGAGGTCATTTAGCTGGGTTTTTAAAATGTAGCTGTTCTGCTTACAGAGTCTGAAGTGATTGAAAGTGGAAAGTAGTTTGCATCCACTTTGGTAATTATTCAGCTGATGGCCACAGATTACCGGTAGGTACGTTTGAACTTTCTTACCTCCTCGGGTTCATGTGCACATGTGGATTATTAAAGAGCAGGTGGATCATTCCAGATGTTACACCTTTTTTTTTTGTTGTTGTTGTTGTTTAAAGGATGTCATTTGACATCTTCCACTGTTAGGCTCACGTTCAGCTTGTAGCTACAAGCTGCGACAGTCTCAGATGTTAATAACTTGTTAGCAGGATTGATTTTACATGAATTTTAGACAAGATTTTTTTTGTACTGGAAGCTTTTTGGTTTGTTTGTAGTCTGAATAATGTTAACCAATCATGGGAAGGCTTTACTTGCAGGTAAATGGTCTATGTTGGAAAGCAAGAGAAACACAGTGGCTGAAATTAACTGTAGAAATTTGTCAGTTTAGCTTTTTAAAATCTGCATCCTAGTTTGAACTGTAAACACTGAAACACAAGACAGGAAACCAGGCTTGACTATCTTTCTGCCATCAGCACCGGAAACCCCAAAACTTTGAATTTCCCCCAGAGGCTCAGTCAGATGATCGCTGATAGTTTCAAACATTGTTAAACTCACAGTGCTGGTTGGTGCATTTTCGGTTAAGTATTCTTTAAGGGCTTTGCCCCCAGTCAGCAAACACAAAGTGGTTTGAAACGCGTAAGAAAATAGTTTATCTGATAAAGATTTCCCTGGATCAGAATCCAAGTACAGTAAGCTTAACATACTTGGGTTAAGTAAGGCTGCTGTTGCCTTACTTAACCTGCTGTGCCAGGGGAAGTGAAGCCCTGTTAATGGTTGGAATGAGACCTTCTTGGTGTTTTGTTTCTCATGCTTTTACTGTCCTCCTCCTTTCAGACACAGATGCCCGACCCCAAAACCTTCAAGCAGCACTTTGAGAGCAAACATCCCAAGTCCCCCATGCCTCCCGAGCTTGCAGATGTTCAGGCATAAAGGACTGCTGACTGGACCTGAACCTGAATCTGGGTGAGTAGTACCTGTAGTGTTTAAAAAAACACAGTGTTTCCCACTCTCCAGGTTTCAAATTTAGACCAGAATTTGCTCTGCCAGGTTGCTTACTGGTCAGATTTGTGTTGTATGATGTTGGCTGCACTACAAGTCCTCCTCGGACTGCAGCTGGCGTCCTCGTTTCTGCTTTGGAGACCGGCTGTGAGTTGACGGGACACTCCAGTTGGAACCGAAAGCAGATTGAGAACTTTCTTGATTCTGTTTAAATTAATATTGGAGTGAAACTGCACATCAAACATGAGGAAACTGTGTTTAAACTGTAAACATGACCCCACAAACTGTTGCTTACAGATACACAATGACTACGGATTAAACATCAACTCGCGGCACCTGAAGGACGTTGGCGACGAACGCTGGGACCTCTCAGAATTCACGGACATCGGGTTGGGAAGGCGGGACGGGGCGGATGTGTGTATGTGCTGTGTACGTACATGTTTGTGTAAGAGAAAACAGTAATGATGGGGCAGGCGTACACCAGCAGCCCAATTTTATATTTATTGTGTACAACTACCTTGTTATCCCAGGTTGGGGAGGGGGGGAAGCAGAACCAGCAAGATTATCTGTCTGCTTACACTGAATCAAAATTGTGACTAATGACGGGGATCTGGAAAAGCTTCAATAGGATGTAAAATAAAATTTCTGAATGTGTGTCTACCTGACAGCCGGTTCTATTGAAACGGTGTCGTCCAATGAGGCGACGGCACATTCACTTCACTCCCACATGGACGTGGCTCTGCTGTCGGGTCAACTCTTCAGCTCTGATTTTTCTTTCTCTCCCCAAAAAAATCCCAAAATTGGCTCCTTAAGGCGACTAAACGTTTCCTTTAACTTCCTGTCTGTATGGTCGGACTCCACAGCTTTGCCTCCTCCATGCTGCTGCTGCTCCACAGGTGTCCACACTCGGTAACACCTTACAACAGTACCTCACGTTAACCACACAGCAAGTCTATAACGCACTCTTTTTCAAATCTCTTCCACTTGGACTTCTCAGTGTCATCCTTCTTGGCAATAACACCCCCCATCTTTGTCCCGCCTCAGTTAAAGCAGGAGTTGTTCTGTAAACCAAACACGCAGCTCTGTGCTCAGCGATGCTTTCAGCTGTAGTTTGAAGAAGCTGTACGTAGCCCCAAAGGACTGAGAGAGAAATCATTTAGTTCCGAAACTGCAAAAGATAAGAGTTAAGGATTTTCTTTTTGGGTCTTCTTTAAATCACTAGCAAGCAAAAATAATTTGTTTTCACTGTAACTTTTTTTTTTACCCTTTTCAATAAATTGAAAAATGTATTTAATGTGATCGGTCTGCTCAGATGCCTTTTATTCTGCATGAGAATCGTTTTTGTTTTTAAATCAATACAGTTAGTTTTTGTGTGTATTACTCAGACTGTGACTATTAACTGTCTTTAACTCAGACTTGCTACTTCAGGCTAACATATAAAGAGGTTAAGTTAAAAGTTTGGGATGGATTTGCATGAAATTTTGTTTTAGAGGCGATGATTTCAAGACCATTTAGAAAATATCAACTAATCTGGATCCACGGACTCAAAGCGAGGTGTGGAGCAGTCTTGGGCTGCTCCTGAAATAAATGCAGTCTATTTAATTTAACATGAGTATGCAGATATTTATAGACAATAGAGTTCTGGTAATAGACACGTTCTGGTTTGAATTATTAGTCTGAATAATGTTAATTGGACAGTCATGTGATCGGAGAGACACTGGTGACAATAACAGGTGTGACTCTGTAATTCTAGCAAGACTTAACAGCTTTTTAGGCTTAATA